TATAGATATATTCAAAACCATTTGAGACAAGGGAATACAGTATATATCATTTCAAAGCCAAAAGAAGGAAACGTCAAGGAACACAACCCACACTCTCAACAAAGACTAACGACCACAATACACAAGTCAATAAGGACCACAATCAACATACTCAACGAGAACCACAATCAACATACTCAACAAGGACCACAACCTACCATCTTAATGGTAGAGTTCCCAACAGACATGCTCATAAGAAATAAACACAACAATCACATAATGACAAGTTTCACGTTCCAACCTTATGCCCTGTTCCAACCTTATGGCTACCCCCGGCCTTGTTTCAGTTCCAACCGTTACCTCCAAGTGTCACCCTTTACTTCTGAGTCCAACCTTATTCAGCCTGGGACCGTCGTCCCCCACCAATCTTTACCACCAATCTCATAGTATTACCACTGATCTCTCAGTACACGAGGGTACCATTAAATAACACAATATTACCACTGATCTCGTGACCAAGGCTTAAACAATATTACCACCAATCTCATTCATAGTTACGCATAGTCATTATCAAGAGGATTGAGGCTCATCAAAAGCCCAATCAAGCATCAACAAAGGGTACAATCAAATATACAAGATCACATCATACGATTGCCAAAAACAATGATAGACATGAAACAATACTCAACAAAAACAATTGACTTCAATCCAATATCAACACGATTGCCAATCCTCAAAGGAATGGACAAACAACGCATACTAGCATCAAAGACAACATATCTAGCATGCTCATCAAACGGGTAAACCAAATTGGTTTCAACGAACCTCAAAGACTCACATAAATCCAACGAATCACAAAGTTGGACCATAAGCACGATTCAAGATACCAAATCTTAACATGAATACTTAGGACATCGTTCTAGACATACGAAACATCAAGGAGACACCCAAAAGCTCAACAATCCAACAAAAGGAAGTCAAAACATCACATACCAAAAGATGGAACCACGGGAAAACAACACCCAACATTCCACCATCAGTGTACCCTGTGGGTGGGTCCCTACCCGCAGGGTACAATAATACCACCCGCGGGTAGGGCGGCAGGTAGACATCTGCCCGCCGTTCCGCCCGCGGGGAACATCACGATCCAACAATAATTCCCTTCAGGAAATTTCATCAACAAAGCCAAGTTCAAGTCCAAAACACCCCAAAATCTCACATTCAACAAGGAAATGACTTGAACCCAAGAATAGATCAAAGAATAGCACTCAAGAGACCTAGATACAAGCTCTAAACATGCATTATCACAAGATCATGCATCCAATCTCACATTTACACCAAGAATCATCAATAGAAGTCAAGAATCATCATATCAAGTAGAAAATAGGTTTTGTATAGCATGGGTTACCTGTGTAGACCAAAACCTTCTTCCTTTCAACCCTCCTAAGCCCTACTTGGAAGCTTTTCTTCCTCACAACCTTCTTTCACAAGCCAAACCACAAGAAAACACCAAGCTTAGATAAAGACACCTTAAAGCTAACCAAAACACTAAATAACTTTACATCTTACCCTTTCCTAAGCTTGGAAGATAGGAAGGTGGAATCTTGGGATGAATCTTTGCAAGATTGGGTGAGGTCTTTCTTGGCTTGGGAAAGAAGCCAAGTTTCTTAGAGAGAAGGGAGAGAAAAGTTGTCTTGCTATAGTGAGGGAATGAACTTTAGGTTTGGGTAGGGTAAGGCTTCAAGACCATGTAAGGAGAAAAGACCATTTTACCCTTACTTTTCCTGGAAAGGCTTAGGAAGACTCCATGGAGTTAGGTACAACCAACAAGGCTAAAGGTATAACTCTTTGACTTAAATCAATTGACCAAGGAGTTGGTCAATTTTGGTCCTTCGACTATCAATTTAGGAAATTGATTAGGAGATTAGCAAGGATAATTTAGGATTAGTTACCCAATTAATCCTATTTAAAGGATAGGATTTTCGGGGTGTCATTAAACGTCACGGCTGAGCCGTGGCCAGTCACACCGGAGACAGATGACAGTGACTCTGAACCGGCCTCTCCAACGGCTTCTGCCGAGGTCCATCCACCTCAAACTATGGTATCTTCTTTGCATATATCAGTAGTGGGTACATCGTCATTACCCGTCACTAGGAAGCTAGATGTGTCTCTTAATTTGCCTGAGAAATTTATTTCTTCTATGCCTTCTGAAATTTTCTGTGCTAATTCTCCACCTGGTGACCCTTATGATTCGGCTACTCATGGCTTACCTATGTCTATTACTTCTGAACTGTTAATGTTTGATAATATGTCTATACTATGCCTAAATTGGTAGCCTTATATGAGTTTATGCAATCTGTGCCTTGCAACTTTGCATTCGAAATATATATCAGTATGGTAGCATGCCTCATGTACCTATGCATTGTTCTGCATTTAGTATTCCTGTGTTAGTTTCTACACCACCTTTTATGTCTGAGGATGCTCCTGTTCATGTGGTTAGTACCAAAGAGCCTGTTCCCATTATTCCTGTTAGAAAATGCTCATTTTCATGTACTATTGAGAAGCGGGAACATGGTTGCCTTGATGAGGTCAAAATTATTTCTGCAACTAAACAACAAAGATGGAGCACAGTTCTTCCCCCAATGATAACGCGATCACGTACTGGGTCTGTTCCAGCAGCTCCAAACCCAGCTTCTACGTCTGCTTCGTCTAGCTCTCGGCCAAAGAGGTCCAAAAAATGTTACCGACCTATATTGCTATCTCCTGCTTTGAAGGATGACTGGGAAGTGCATTAAAAAGGGAATTGAATCTCGAAAAATCAATAAATGAAGAAGATCTGATCACAAAGTGCAACATCATTCCCCTTCTGAAGGATCAACAGTTGTTCTCCAGTCTACAACAATCGGACCTTATTCAGCTTGGTTGACGACCGAGTTCTACACTAATCTGACTATGGACACATTCACTGCCGACTCATTTTACTTTCATCATGTTTTTCTCCGAGACAGATGGTATCCCTTTAGACCTAAGGAGATAAATGATTTTTTCGATCGACTTGCTCAAGCCCAATCTGCTGATCCCAGTTTGAATCTTTTAGCTGTTGCCTTAACACACAATCGACTCGACAGATTGCCTGGCCAAACACTGGTCTAAAAGCTCAAGAGTTGACAACAATTTATTCTGTACTTCTTCGGATCGCATAACCAAATTGGATCCCAGCTATCGGACCGCATCTTGTTTCTGAGCAGCTTGCTCTCTTGCTGTTTAAAATACACAATCGTCAGTCTTTTAACCTTGGAGAGATCATCTTTTCCCATATCATGACCTTTGTGAAGAAGAAAGAAGTTAAGATTCATCTTCCTTATCCCAGCTTGATTTATGGTGTGTTAAACAATCATGGTTTCAAGCCTTACAAAGATGAAGTCGTGACCAAAAATGGCAATACTTATGTATTTGATTTTGATGATAAGCTTGCTCAAAGTTTACACTATGATGACCGGGCCTCTCTCAGTGCACCTCCTGTTCCTTTGGTCCCTACACCGCCTCGGCACCGGCTTCCTTCTCCGAGACTGAATCTGCACCTATTTCTGAGTGCCTAAGGAACGGCCTACACTCCTAGCTCGCCGTCAAATTTTTGTCACAAGTCAAGCTTCTATAGCTCAGCTTCGTAGTTCCGTTGTCTCTCAACAAGCCACTATCTCCGGATAGGAAAAACTTTTAGAGGATCAGCTCATAGAGATCTCCCGACTCGAGGCTATTCATGCTCACATTCTCACAGCAAGCAAAGGTGATGGTACTGACTCTGGAACGGATGATGATGATGCGGATTCTTCTCAATCGGGCACCCCGTCTGCACGATGATTCTTTCCACTATGATGTTAACCATTCTATTTGCCATTTATTTTGGCACAAAAGGGGGGAGAAATTTTGGTCGGTTAATAAGATAGGGTGAGTAGTTTGGAATATGTTATTGGTTGGTTGGATTTTGATTTCGGATGGATTTCTGATTGCTACTTTTGGGTGATTTTCTAATTGCTGCTTTGGTATGTTATCTTCTCTATAATCTTTTTGGGACATCTTTGCTATCTACAAGTATATTATTTAGGAATTTAATGGATGATTATGCTTTTATTTAGCTAATCTTATCTTGCTTATGGATATTTTGGACTTTCCCTTATTGTCTTTGCTATCTACAAGTATATTATTTAGGAATTTAATGGATGATTATGCTTTTATTTAGCTAATCTTATCTTGCTTATGGATATTTTGGACTTTCCCTTATTGTCATATTTCTCTATTGGGTCATATTATCTCTACAGTATGGGTATGGACATACGGATGGAGAACAATCTAATTTGGCTTGGTAAATGTGTTTTTTTTTGGTGTCAACCCACACTTTGTAGTCCGGGTCTTTCTCTGTCCGTTTAACGGTCCAGATCCACCCGGTTCGCTCCAAAAGGCCCAAAAGCTGGCCCAAAGGGGATTGTCACTTGTGGGAATTGAACTCAGGTTCATCCCAGAATACTCCCCCACAAATCGAGCTCATTTGCCACTTAAGCTACCCTGTTGGGTTGACTGGCATTGGTAATGTTTTGTTTCTTAGGTTTTTTGTCAAAGCATATATACTAAGGGCTTTTTTCCTTTAATAAAAATATAAAATCAATTGACATATCTATTTTAATTCATTTGACGGTTGAAATTGATGCATGGGTGAACTACAATTGACCGTGGAAAAACAACTAATTTAATTCACCCAAATAAAAACATGAGTGAATTAAAATTTCAAAGTAAGAACTATTCTTCATCATATCGTTACCTATACGCTCTCATATCCATTACTTAGCTTTCCCCTAGATCCTACGTTCATACCCAAAAATGTAATTCTTTATCTATCTATTTAAACTCCACAATCCCATGCAAGTAAAATCACCCCAGGCCAGGCCAGGCATTATATTTCTCCACATATATATTTCCTATCTGGTCTCTGCGGGCCAATCAATATAATCTGCCTAATTAACAACATGGCATTTATGGAGAGGTATCGTTCAAATATAAAAGTAATTATTAATAATTAATAATTAATGGGGGATTATTTGAATTGAATTTGCATTGTGGCAGATCGAAGAGTAATTACTAATTATAACGGGAAGTGATCGAGGGGGAAATCATTTTCTAAATGTATGTTGATTATATTATCACCATGCATGTTTAGTACTATAATTACTCTTTAATTATGTATTGTACGTGGAGATATATAAATGGATTACATTTTTACTCATCATCAGGTCATCGTTGTTTCTCTACTTTCTTAATTTATTTTCATCGATTAGCATATATTATAATAATAATAATGTTAATATTGAAGGAGGAGTGATACCAATGAGGGCTTGAAATATCTCATTCAGTGTCATATCACCTAAAAGAGAATTGAATGAAATGTCTTCAAAAAGAAGAAAATAAGCTATAAGCTCCTAGCTTAGCGTTGCCAAACAGAGCCTATAAAATTTTTTATAAGATAACAAACTCAATTTTCGTGAATTACAATTTCAAAATGCTATTATTCATTACTTAAAAGGCAACAAATTATAATAAATAATTTATAATAACAATTAATAAATTAAATGAATTATGAATTAATGTAATTGGAGGAGATAAATAATAGCAAGACAACAAAAGAGGGATGAACACTTCCTTTGACAAGGAACAAAGAAAAAAATGTATTATGAATAAATGTTTATAGATGTGTAACGAATAAATGTTATAGATTTTGGTGATGTTGAGTAGAGATGTTTCACCGGAAGTTTCAAGACTCGTCAGAAGGAAAGGAGTCGAAAGGAATGGATTCAAAAGAAATTGAAGCTATCGGGAGTGTCATTTCAAGGCTTCCATAAAGAACCTTTTACGACATTTTGTGTTTTCACCATTCTCTCTAAGATGAAAAGGAAGATGATTAGTTTTGGAAGGAGTTCATAGACACTACTGGAAATCTTTGATTTTTTGACTACCTACAAAATGGTAGAAAAAAAGTGACATTTTTCCAATTTTTCGTTGAAGGGGTGGGGAAATAGGTCAGAATTTTACTTAGTGGTCGGAATACCAACCACAATGTAAAAGTGGTAAAAAAAAAATTCGGCAAATTTAAACTGAGTTAGGAATTTCTGTCAATCTTATGCTATATTTTACCACCTTGTCCGTAGTAAAAAATAAATGCGAAAGTTTTTCCGGATATCAAAAGTGGTCGAAACAAGGGTTTCCGACTTGACTTTCCTTTTTGTTCGGTTTATTACAAAATAATAAATTCAGTTCTTGCGGTTGGACTTTATTATGAGTTTTTGAAAAAGAATTATTAGGAACATTACACAACTTGTTTGATACCTACAGATCTACACAAAAAATTGATGATGAGTAGAAGGTTTCTTTAAAACCAAAAGTGTGCTTATAATACATTGAAAGGAGGGAAATGATCGTTACCTGGTTCTCAACCTACTTAAGGATTTGGCAGGAAAAATGCAGAAAGACAACAACAGTTTTTGACAAAAGTGTTTTCTATTGTGTAAAAGACAACAGTTTTTTCCAAAATCGTTGTCTTTGACCCAACATTTTTGTCAAAGACAGTAGTTTTTACTGAACCGAAAATGCAGCAAAAGACAACAGTTTGATCTCTGTGTGTTTTTTTTTAAATTGTTGGTTTGATTTATCTGTTGTCATTGATTTGTTGTCTTTTAAGCGCACTTTGAATACAAACATTTCTACAACGACAATTTTAAAAGTCCATTGTCTTTGGGCTTTTAAAAAAAAAAAAATAAAGACAATGATTTTATTTGTCCGTTGTCGTTAGTATGTTGTCTTTTTAAGGACAATGATTATTTTTAAAGACACTTTGATAATTAGTTTTTACTATATACGTATACTTAGATGGTTATATTTTAGATAATTGCTTAATTTGGAAGAAAATTGAAAACTTACTTGGAATTTTTTTTTTTTAATTTGCTAAATTAGATATGTTATTATTTCTTAAAGAAAGATAAAATAATTAGTTTTGATTTCCCTTTCTTTAAACACACGTTGAGTACACAACACTTCAAAAATAATGGTCTTTTAAAAACATTTTCTTTTTCTTTTAAAAAAAAAGACAATAATTTTATTTATCCGTTGTTGATTAGTGTGTTGTCTTTAACCACACTTTGAATGCACACCACTTCTACGACAACTGTTTTAAAAGTTCGTTGTCTTTGTGTGCATTTTTTAAAAGGATAAAGGTTAAATTTAAACGACACTTTGATCATTATGTTTTACTATATATTTAGACGATTATATTCTAGATACGTACTTAATTTAGAAAAACATGAAGACTTAGAAAAAAAAAACTTACTTTAATTTTCTTAATTATATTATATTTTTTCTTTAAAAAATAAAAATAAAAGAAAAAAATAATTAACTTCCTTCTCTTAAACACTTAGAAAAAAACACTCTTCCTCTCAAACAAAAAAATTCTCCCTCGCTCCTTAGCCTTCTTAGCCTTCCAGCCTCCCTTTGTGTCAGCCTTCCTCCAGTTAGTAAGCCGACGCCTAAGCTGCAAACCTCTTTCTGTAGTCGTCGCTCCGATCCTCCACCAAAGTCGCCTCTTCTCACTCTGCCGCCGTCGAGTCTGCGAACTCTACTTCCAGTCACCGTCACTCCTCAACCAAAGTCGCCTCTTCCCGCCTCTGTCGCCATCACCGTCCTTCACGTTAGTTCTTTGTCAAT